GATACCGATAGGGGGCCGATTATATCGTGCATCCCTAATAATTAGGTCTAATCTGTGAGACAAGAGCAGTACTGTAAAGGATAAAGCACATATCTGGGTCTGTACTCTAGAAAATTAATATTTTAGATGTAGAAATCGCCATAATAATAATATTAGTAATGATAATATTTATACATGGTCATACTATTTATTAGTGTTGCACCGTGTGCGCGTAGTATCGGGCTGGGCCCCGATTCAGCACTAAAATGGTGATAACTGGGGTCCATCTTCTGAAGAATACAGGCACTTTTAGCTGTAATTGGGCCGTCATCCATTTAATTAGTCGTTATATTTTCTTGCAACAGAATATGTCATTCATAACATTATTCTGTGGTAAACAGGTGATCAGGAACCACATCCAATAAAAATAACAGGATCCAGATGAAGCTCCACTGCCAACATTTTTTCCATTTCTTTTTTGACATTTTTCCATAATGTTTGTATTTTCTGGCAGTCCCACAGTATAAGAGTATGTCCACCGACCAAATAGTTCCTCCAACATCAGGAGCTGCGATTGTTCTTGGAGACAAAAGTTTTTAGCAACGTCCTGAAGAATCTAATTCTTTATATAGTCGACTCCCTTCTGGAACATATGTTTTCCCAAGAGACATCATCTATTATTGTAGACAGCTTTTTATGGCAGGATTATAGTACAGGGTTATTGCACAGAGTATTTATATAGATGGATATTTATATATATATATAGTTATTGCACTGGATGTCAAATATAAAGAAACAGGTTATTGCACAGGGTATTAAATAGTGATTGAACATTATGCATTGTTATTGCCATTGTAGAGTCTGATGTCAGCAGGGATGATAGACCTGGTAGATCTATGGCAGGCCGTTTTGACATTTATTACAAGCGCTGTCCTCTCATTGTTCTATTCGTAGATCCCTGAAATAAGATTCTGTTTAAAACTAGATTCCTACTAGTCAGACCTGTACATATAGATATCCTAGATTACATTTTTGTCAGTAAAAATTAAATTTCAGGATTCCAAAAATATAATTGTACTACTAAGAATAAACTTTCAAATACCTAGAAATCTTTACAAATTTTAAGTGTCCCTTTTGACGTTTATTAGCTTGACTGAATATATATTTCAGATGTCTGAAATGCATTTCTTTCTAGTACAAATGACGTCACGATTCCCATTCATGTGTATTGGGCTTTTACATCCAGATATCTAAAATAACATTATCTAAAAATGAATTCTGAAGAGGATGAACTCTAATTTCAGATATTCATAACCATTTCAGATATCAAAAAAATGAATGTAACAGATATCAAGAACTAGAATTCTTGACATTTACAATATATTTCAAGTAGAAATATAATTACAGTTTTCAACTAGTTAAATATGAATTTCAGATATCTAAATGTAAAAGTCTTTGACTAAAGGAGCTGCTCAGCTCCTCTCCAGTCTGC